GTGTCCTTAGACATGTGGGAATGGACTGATTCTCTGCCTGTTGCTCTGCTTTGTATGTGCAGTTTCTTTCTCCTCATTCATTCATTTTCTACCCAATTATTAAGCAATTTCTGTGTCATGGGGGGGTGACAATCAGAGCTGCCACACAATGCTCATAGCACCAGACCCTCTGATCCTCCTGCAGGTGGTGGGTCCATAAGAGCAGTCGGAGTAGGTCTCGTGGGGGAATTGAACCCACAACCTTATGGGCCAAAGACCAATGCTCTACTAACTGTGCCACTGTTTCATTAGCAAAGCAGTGTTTTGATCATATTGATAAAACCCTCCATCCTTTGTAATGAACATGCGGCACACCATTTATCTTTGCAGAGCTGTGTTGCGTTTTGTTGTGTTGTGTTGTGTTGTGTGTTGGAATAAGCAGTTGCTGATTAAACCCAGCCTGATTTAGCATGTGCAGCTCTGAAGCAGCAGGCGCCGTGCTCTCGACAGATGACGGATGCGCTGATAACAGTGATTTTCTCCAGTTGTCAGCCATCTTGACAAGAGGCTGCTGTTGCTCTGATCCAACAGAAGGGGTAGACATGTTTGCCTGCTGCATTTAAATTGACTTATATGTGAAGACTTTTCCATTTATATTAGAGATCCAACCTTTCTCTCACAAGTCGGGGTCTGTAGACTTGATCTTTTCTTGATATATCACTACACATTGCTTTTACAGCCAAAACTGGGTGGGCACGCTGGTTAGTGCTTGTGCTTGATCCTGGGACTTGATCCTTGATTATCTCCTTACCTTTCTGTGTGGAGTTTGCATGTTCTCCCCCCTGTCCACACTCAAAAATATGTATAATCGGTCTGGCATACATCTCCTCTAGATAAATACAAATGACATACTTGAAGACAAATTCAACTCATTCATTCGTTCATTTTCAACCCCTTTATTAGTCCTTAGGGATTCATCTGATTAGTTTGGTCAACTTTGTAGAGATGGATTGGTCAGTGTGATGGATGCAGTGCGAACCCAAGCCTCTAGGGGTCTCTTTGCTTTTTGGGCCCTTACTACGTAACTCTCACTTCATGTTTGCAACCATTGATTATTAACATTGTACAGATTGGCACGCAGCTGAGATGACGTCCAGCATTAGTGAAAAAATATACATATTATCTGATTATTTGTTTTTCTGGGGAAATTTAGTTGCCTGATAGTTGTCTGAGTGTGATGCAACATTCGGTATTATTTTCAATTACGTTTCAAGAGCTATTGGCCTTTGTGGCAACAACTTAGTATCCTCTTGGATTTTGGGCCAAACCACCTACTTACTAACGAGCACTGGTCGAAACTTGTCTGAATCAAATCTTTAAGCAACATCAACTTGGCAAATGTACTACTACATATCTGACCCACAGCATCTGGACTGTGTCCTGTATCTGTCATATCTTTGTACAAAGCTTTTGACATATTTTCTTTTCATTCCTATCTGTACCTATCTTTGTCATATACACAATTAGTGACCCAAACTGTTTGCATATGTCTGTATCTAATTCTGGAAGTCTGAGGCAAATAAGAAGCTCATCTGTGTGAACGTTCCCACTGTCTCTGGCTGTCTGATTTACCACATTGGTGACATCAGCCCTGGGATTATGTCACCAGAGTTATTTTTAAACAATTTTGACTGTGTTTTAATGAATGGTCCTTAAAATGTGTTGAAAGACACATTTCTACTCAATGGAACAGATAATGAAGTTCTATTCTATTCTAGCCTGGTCGTACCACACCATAGTACAACCAAGCCCCGGCGATCCAAGATGGCGCCCTATTCAAGTGAATGGTTGTGCTCAGTGGCGCTTTGTGACGGCATGGGGGCTTAAAGATAGATGTACTTGTTACAACTAATGGAGATCAAATAAATACAAATGCAAAGATTAGCGGAAGTCGCCTGGAACTCTCAAAGATCTATGGGAAACTCGCCTGTATTTTGGCATCGTCTGGTCCTCCCGGTTCGGCGCAGTGGATGATCTCCCATAATGCGTTGCGCCATATACACGTGTGTGGGTCTCACACCGGGTCTCACGCACGTGCACAAAGGGGCTCGGCCGCGCTCTGACTAATCAGAGCAGTTCATCAGAGCGGGAGTTAGAGCGAGAGCCAGACGTGCAGAGTTTGTGGCACTAAAGTGTAGATTTAAACAAAACCGAAGGATTTAAGAAGAAAAAAAGGATGACAAGGGACACTAAAATCCCCACAAAATCTGATCTTTATTAAAGCTGTAGGTTCTCTGTCAGCTGAGGTTGAGCTGTTTTAATATGCATCGTGAATTTAGTCTGGTCTAGTCTGCAGTACCGCGAGAATCCGCCGAGCACATGAGTTATTCAGCTACAAGCTAGTAATACCCTATCCAGTTATTATAATAGATCCATGAGTACAACTTACATTTCGTACTAAGGTCTGGAGGTGCTCCATTGAGCTCCGTTTACAGGTGGGAGGGTTTAACTCCTTTTGCAGATTGAAACAACTGGATCTGAGTTTATTGTGACGTTTGTAATTGCGCCCGAGTGAGCCTAGCCATCTCCTTTGCCGCTAACGGAGCCCGTGGGGAGTAGCGCCACAATTTTTGCCACCAATGAATTTTGACTTTCTCTTGCTCCGGCTTCAATTTCTTGATAGAACCAGACCAAAATACTTTACTATCGTATTCTTCGCCATTGCCAAACTACAACCTCCCTTTTTGGCGCAAACTCTTGACATCACCCACAACTAACTACAACACCCGCCTTCTGCGCTCGCTGATTGGTCGGATGGAATTCAACTGATTGTAATGGCTAACACAGGGATCAGACCCAGACATTACATGCAGTGAAATGATGATTGACCGGAGTGTACGGATGGCTAAGGCCAGGCTATCTCTATTCTATTCATTTAGTTAACATTTGTATTCCTTCAGCCAAAAAACATGCAAAGGATCTGGTTTCACCTTTATAGCACTGTTTGATTATAGCCAATACAAGATTCAACACAATGGACAAAGCAGAAGAAAATAAATCAATGGTCTAAAAGAGCTATATCAATTTGGGGTGTATTCTAGGACATAATGGATCACATGGGTGGCACTCTTGATTTCTGGCTCAAAATACTGTGAAATCAGCCGGTGTCTGCAATTGCTTGATAAGTGCCTCATCATCTTCATCTGCAATCAAAGTATTTCTGTTTACCACATTGACATGGAACCAGGCGAGTTGATTCAGGCCTTGAGCATCACGCTTCACTGCAGCAGGAATATGAATGAGTGTATACAGTGCTGAGGAGCGGGTTATTTCTATAAGCTGTGAGAAAAAGAGGTGATGAAAGGGCGTGACGGCTGCTGACATAAATTACCTGATTCTGTACATCCCAGACAGCCAATATAATAATCTTTATGTGTTTTTGTTGTACGGTCAATGCCCATTTCCATTCCTTAAGGATGTTTACCTAAGTACCAGTCTATAATTTTCTGTAGTTTATCATATAAGTTGTGTTGTGGTGATATTGTTGTGAGTTTGAAAGTACAGTATTGACACCTACAAAAGTCTTTCCAATGTTATAGATGGGAAGAATCTCGTAAAGCAGGGGTACTACACTTTCAAAGCACAAAAATTGAATTAGTTAAGAAAATCAATCAATCAATCAATCAAAGTTTATTTGTAGAGCGCCTTTCATACACAGGGCAACACAAAGCGCTTCACAGTCCACATCACAAATCATCACATAAAACAAACACCAGAATCACAATTAAAACATTAAAATCACACAAAAGATTAAAACACAATTAAAACAGTAAAATCACACAAAAGAATAAAACCATTAAAACTTTCAAAATTACACAAGAAATTTAAAAAAAAATAAATAAATGACAGCAGTGCATTAAAAATGGAGATAAAATCCTTCAGTTATATGCACAGGCAAACAGAACAGTCTTTAACCTGGATTTGAACATTGACAGAGTAGACGCCTCCCTCACATTTTCAGGGAGATTGTTCCAGATCTTAGCTGCATGGATCTGAAACGCAGCCTCCCCATGTTTGGTTCTCACTCTGGGCACCAGCAGGAGGCCAGTCCCTGTGCTCCTCAGAGTCCGGGCCGGTTCATATGACACCAACATGTCACTAATGTATTCTGGTGCAAGGCCATGGAGAGACTTGTACACAAGCAGAGCCGTTTTAAAATCTATTCTTTGAGCCACAGGAAGCCAGTGCAGAGACCTGAGGACCGGACTAATATGGTCATACTTCCTGGTTCCTGTCAGGACTCTAGCTGCTGCATTTTGGATGTACTGCAGCTGCTTACAGGTCTGTTTGGACAGACCTGTAAGCAGGCCATTGCAGTAGTCTAGCCTGCTGGAGACAAATGCATGGACAAGAATCTCCAAGTCTGCCCTGGACACTATATTTCTAACTTTGGCAATGTTCTTCAGATGGTAAAAAGCTGTTGATGTTATTGATTTTATGTGGCTATTGAAATTTAGGTCTGAGTCCAGTATTACCCCCAAATTTCTGAAAAATGTGTCGCACTAGGTCCTAACTCCCAAATCTTCTATCACTAGTTTTCACATGCATGTATTATATAGAAGGGTGGAGAAGAGAGGAGCACCCTGCCTTCCCTCAGTCGGTCCATGAGCTCTCAGCCCAAAAAGTCAAACAGTGACTTGCTTAATGCTCTTTCTTAATAATGATAATAAATCAGTTTTATATAGCGCTTTTTTGGACACTCAAAGACGCTTTACATGTCATTATTCATCATAGACAATTCTGGGGCAGTAAAAAAGTAATCGCGCAGCATTTCTCTGAGCACAGTTGTCTGATATGTCACTGGTCTTTATGTTTGTGGCCCTAAAATGTGCTGGAGTTCAAACTGTATCAATGCTTTTACAAGACACTATTATTCCAGCAACTTTCTCTAAAACGGTCCAATCGCAGCGTCCTGCTTCCAGATTCACCAAACGTCTTGTGTATTTGTGTGTGTGTTCCAGGTGCATCAATACTATAACTCTTTACCGGAGGAGAAAGTCCCCTATATAAACAGCCCTGGAGAAAAATACCGCATCAAGCAACTGCTCCACCAGCTGCCGCCGCATGACAATGAGGTGAGTCCAAATACTGTCCCATTCTACAGCCACGGATCTATATCTCCTGCTTTGGTATTATTGACGTTTTTCTCCTGCATTGAGATATTGACGTTTTTGTGTTGGTTTTAGGTGCGCTATTGCAGTGGTTTGGACGAGGAAGAGAAACGTGAGCTCAAAATCTTCAGTAACCAACGGAAGAAGGACAACTTAGGCCGAGGCAACGCCCGCCCCTTCCCTCTCACCGTTAATGGAGCGATTTGCGATAAGGTGAAACAAGAACGGACTAATGTATATAATTAAACCGCAGTTATTTCAAGGTGCGCAGGGGGTGGTGCGATTGGTTGGTTGCCTAACGTGTTTTGCAGTATGAGGTTCAGACACTAAATCAAATGTATTGTGCTGTAATTAAAAACACAACACACAATAAATGGTAAGATTACAATGAATTGCAATAGAAAATACCCAGATAAAAATAACACAAATACAGGATTAAATGAAATGGGAGAGACAGACATGAGCATGTATATACAAAACTAGGGCCTGAAATAGTCCACAATATAGCCTTAAAGAGAAGATAAATGCAATATCAACAACGCTGTTTGATATAGTTCTGCCTTGTTATAATAATAATTATTATAATACATTATATGTATAAATCGGCATCTTCTGAATTTGGCAAACACCATGGGTGATGTCCCCACTCAGTTGGTCCTTCTGCGGTCTATGGAGCGAACCTTTGACCTTCTTGTGGCAAAGAATGCTACCCACTCAGCCACTGTGCAGCCAAATACAATGTTGAGTGTAGCACTCTGAGATTTCTTTGAAATGTAAAGTGCATTAAACAGCGGCCATATTCTTACATGGCATTTTTGTTATGATGGGATGACCAACTCGCAGCGCAGATGACTCGCACAGATGACTTGCAGCAAAGATGACTCCACCGGTCATCTGTGCTCCTGCTCAGTTTGAAACTGTTGGAAGTAAAACGTGCAGCCACATGGCCCTTTCTGGAACCGGTATGAGACCCCTGTTCTAAGGCAAGCTGGAGTTTTTACCCCACAAATGAAGGCATCTGATCGGTCAATCCTTATAGCTCTTATCGGGATTCACAAAGACAAAATTGAACTAAAAACTCCAGAATCCTAGAGAGCATATGTGTGTGACACAGGCAGACGAGTTTAATTTTCAAAGTCAATAGGGACCAGAGCGAGTTGGAGCAAATTTCATTTCATTTCGTAAAGATAATTACATTGAAATAAACTACATAAACAGAAAAAGTCACAAGTTACGAAGACCAAAAATTTACATAAGCGAGTAATGACACGTCCAAAACAAACATGAACAATATATTATAGAGAAAATAAAAAATATTTTGCAGGGCATTCATCCCGACTGCTGTCAGACTGTACAATAAGTAACTTTAATGACCTGCACTAGGACTGTAAACATGCACTGCTGTAGTCACTTTTTCATTTCATGATACAAAATACATCTTCTCTGTTTGCAGAATTCCTTTCTCTTGCACACCTTGAGTGATACTATTTATGCCAAATGTGACATGAACATTTCTCCATTATGAGATGAATAAAGTCTATCTTATCTTATCTTGCATCATGCAGAGCTATTTTAAAATTCAGTCTATGACAGTTTAAAAAGTTGGTTATATTGACTCACCAGCCTGCCCTGCTCTCTCCTGCAGTGTGGCGGTCAGATAAACGGCAGCGACATCGTTGTTTTCGCTGCTCGAGCCGGTCACGGGAAGTGTTGGCATCCCCAGTGCTTTGTGTGCGGAATGTGCGAGGAACTACTGGTCGATCTCATCTACTTCCACCAGGACGGCAAGATCTACTGCGGCAGACACCACGCCGAGAGACTCAAGCCCCGCTGCTGCGCCTGTGATGAGGTGCCTTTGGAAAACACTGAAAGCTTTTGAATTTGGATAAACATGAGGGAAATCTGGTGCGAAAAGATGTCTGTGTTTTCCTGCCATGTCTCAGAGGAGGCTTGTTTCTCATTGTAATATATGGCAAGCCCAGAATAGAAATAATGAATGGGAACAAGACCAAGCTGTCAATGTTAACTTTGATTTGTTTACTCTGGAGTCAATCAGGAAATACAGTATTTTGTGACATGTCGTTTTTTAAAAGGTGTTATTATGAATGATTATGTATTTTCAAAGAAGAGTGAAGTAGAGCATTATACACATTTTTGTGATGGTGGCAACAGAAAGAGGACAGATCAAATCTATGTTATGACTTAGATTAGATTACTTATTCTTTACATCAGAGAGCTCCAGGGATCCTATTTTCCACGCAAGAGCTCTCTTGCAGAGAGCTACATTAAGCCATTCAAAAGAAATTAAGTCACTAAAACTGTTTAATGGTGACATGCCTTGAATTGCTTCAAGGGTAA